GATCCCAGGACTCTGGGATCATGACCTGAGCCGAACAAGACAGACGCTTAACGACTGAGCCATCCAGGCGCCCAAGGCAGGAATACTTTTAAAAAGCTTCCTGGTGAGGGGCTGCTGGGTTGGCGCAGTCGATTAAGCATCCGATTCTAGGTTTCAGGTCAGGTGGTGGTCTCAGGGTCATGAGATCGAGCCCCGATCAAGCTCTGCGCTCAGTGCGGAGTCGGCTTGGGTTTCTCTCTCCCGCTCCCTCTGCCCCCCCCACTGCCTCTCAAATAAATAAATCTTAAAAAAAAAAAAATCTTCCTGGTGATTCTAACCTGCAGCCAAGTTTGGGAAGCACTTTTCTACGTCATGCCTTCCCTTGGTGCTCTCTAGCTGGGGAATGAGAGAGGCTTAGTAGCTTCCTCTGGGACTTCACCCTGTCACTGGCTGGTTCTCTCTGGCTTATCTTGTCAACCTTTGTGTTCTGCTTAAAGAAGCATGCTGTTGTCTGTCACAATGTGTGTGCGGGGGGGCCATTAATTTCCTCCCCGCTCCTTGGCACCAGGGCACAGGTATCAAAGCCACCCAGAGTGCTGTGCTTGTCCTCTGTCACAGCTCAGCCTGGCCTGTATCTTAACTGACTGCCTATCTGCCTCTCCCATTAGACTGACCTCTTAAGGTAGGGTCTTAATCATCTCTCTCCATCTGCAAGGGCAGTGCATGGCCCATCCCAGGCTCTGCCAGTCTCGAGTAAAGGACATGGGGACTGTGGGACTCTACTGTGAGCTGCCTCACAGTAGTCTACAGGCTGGCCAGACATACTTTGTCTACCTGTTATCTTCCTTTGAGGAGGGGTGAAAGAGGAGCGGGGACAGCTGTCAGAGAAACGGACATCCCTATTTTATAGGGATGAGTATTTGGAATCCGTTCTCTTGTCTCTCCAGTGGAAGGAGAGTAGCTGCAATTAACATTCACAAAGCATGTTAGGAATTTGAAGCAATAGACAATAATGGCTCTGTGTAGAATGTCAGGATTGATTTTTCTTTCCACCTGACTGGTGTATGCCAACCTGCCTCACTAGCGTGTAGTAATCCAGAAGGCTCATCTCCTCTTTTTTTTTTTTTTAAGATTTTATTTATTTATTCATAAGAGAGAGAGAGAG